CGGGTGAGGGGCGGTGGGAGAGGGAGCGGTTCGGGCTCCCCCGCGGTGGCTCCTTTCGGTGGGTGTTGCGGGGCAGCCGTGTGCTGCTCGGCTCCCGCTGCACGTCCTCCCTGGGCTGCCCCCGAGGGGACGGCTGAACTCACTCCAAGTTGCAGCAGTTGTTGTCTTCTCTCTACAGGGACGCTCAAAATCAGCATAAACTCCTGAAAATTTCCTTGTGTGTGGCAGCGTTTACTAGCCGGTTCCTCCGTGGGGAGTCAGCCCACCCAGTCCTGGGTGCAGGAGGCACCCTTGGTTGCTGGTGCTGAAGGAGAGGTCGGCTTGGGCTGGGAGGGACTCCCAGTCTGGTAATGGGAACGCTGGTCTGAGCTCTGCAAGGGGAACCCTGAGTGCAGAGTGGAGATTTGAATCACCCAGCTGAGGACAAGGAGGAGTAAACCAGAGCTGATCCACTTCCATCCCACCGGAGTGCTCCTGGGAGGGTAATTATTTCATGTTCCTGTTGTTTATTCCCTCAGCGGAGCAAGTTTTGTAGGAGCATGAAAGAAATCAGCAGAGCTGGCTGTGGAGTGGTGGATACATCGTGCATCCCACACAGGGGGTGGCTGCTGGGTACTCCTGGTAGCAACATCCCATCTCTGCACCCGAGCTAGAGCCACCTGCACCGTCATGGTCCCACAAATGTCCTCCCCTCTTGTCCTCCACCAAAGCCGGGCTGGCCACAGCCACACTGTTCACACACATCTGAACTGGAGCTGCTTCTGATGGTTCTGGTGTGAAGGGGTGTGGTGCAGTTTGGCCGTGGAAATGCTACACCACGTGTGGGTGGAAGGGGCCAGTCCTTTGGAGGTAATTGTGTGTGAGCCAGAGAGAAATTATTAAGTTTTCTTTTAAAAGTAGGTTTCACTGTGTCTGCTGTTTCTTCCCAAACAGCCTTACTGTCACAAAGAAAGCTTATCCTGAGCTGCAGCCTGATGATGCTCATGTTCCCTTTATCCAGCAGGATGTGCTGGGAAATAACATGAGTATGTCACCCCTGAGAGTGGGTTCTTTTTGTGTGACTTCCATCATCTCCCTGAGAACTAAAAAAGCAAAACAGGCTTGAAATGAAAACAAACACCACTGTAACTCCCCAGCAGCCGTTTGAGTGGCTGCCTTTGTTTTGGGGATTGCAGGAGTCAGGAGAATGGATCGTTTGCATCCTCCATGCTCATCTTTCCCCAGCAGTTCAGGGAGCCTTGTGGTGGGAGGAGGGGGCACCGGGAGCCAGTTCCTGTTAGGTTTCAGTCAGGTTTAGTTCAGGCTGGCTCTGGGCAGCCCTTGGGAGCTGAGCTCTGGATGCCTCAAGGCCCCAGGACACAGATCCTTGGCTGCTTTTGAACCCCATGTGTCCCATGCTCAAAGTGCTCAGGTCGTGGTGTTGTGCACGTGCAGGAATCAGCCTCTCTCAGGACCCTTTGTGCTCCTTCCTGATGGGCAGCAGCCTACGAGCGAGTGCTCCAGCCCTAACCACCCCTCTCATCTTTCCCCCTGTCTGTAGCTCCGTGCTGTGGAGGAGAGAGGATGGCTCAGGAGACCAACCAGACCCAGGTGCCCCTGCTGTGTACCACGGGCTGTGGGTTCTATGGCAGCCCCAGGACCAACGGGATGTGCTCTGTCTGCTACAAGGAGTTCCTGCAGCGGCAGCAGAGCAGTGACCGGATAAACCCCCCAGGTAGAGGATTTTTGGCTTGGATATCTGAGTGGCTGAATGGGAACTGTGTTAAGCAACTGGGATAGAGCTTGGGACTGCTACTGGCCACCAGCAGATTTGTTCCCTCCTAGAAAATTTGGGTCTTCCCATGTAGACCTCAAATCAAGACCTGAGCCTTTGAGAGCTTCTCTCCCCTGTGAAGGGGTCGGGTGTTTTCTCCCCAGCTCTCTGAAGCCCTGTCCCAGTCAGCACCTTCCAGCAAACTCTAGTACTTCACTTGTCCTGACTGTGCCCCAGATTTTGAGCTATTACCTGCTCCTTGTGTAACACGCTGGGAACCACATGAGATTCCTGAAGTGAAATTTTATTTGGGAAGAATTTGGCCTTTTGGGGTTTGTATCATTTTCTTATCTTACCAGCACTGACAATCAAAAGCAATTGCATAAAAGGTTTGTTCCCTGCAGCTGAACACAGCTGATATATCACAGCTAGGTGCACAGAGAGGAAGCTCTTCTCATCATTAGCTGGATTTTCTTTTGCTGAGAGTTTGTGCAGGTGCCCCATGTACAGACTGATACCAGTGAGAAACACAGAGAACTTCCACAGCTCTGTTCCTGAGTGTGATAATGGCTTTCCTTGAATTACCCACCCAAAATAGATACTAGGAACTCAGCACTTCCTGACAAAGATTTAGATCCTTGGCTGACATACACCAGTGTGTTTCTTTTGAGGCCAGTTCCTTTCAGCAGGTGAGGATCTGGCTCTGGCACCTTGGAGAAGTTGCAGGGCTGGGTTCAAGGTGTGTTTGTAACTGCAGCACTTTCTTTTATGCTGGTGGGAGAATATTGATGGTGATGTGGAGTTTGCTTTGCAGCACTGAGGAAGAGAAGAGGAATCCAAGAACAATGGAGGTGTCCTGGGTGGCTGAAGTCAGATTTTTTAGCAGATGTTTAATAAAATGTGCAGTAATGGAAGGTGTTCAGCACAAAACTCCTCATCCCTCCCCAGGGAGCTGAACAGATCTCTGCAGACAAGGCCTGCAGCTCTCAGGAACAGGAGCAGCTCATTTCAGAGGGCTCTTATGATCCTGGTACAAGGACTCACTCCTGATCTGATGTAAGAATAGCTGGTCATGGTGAGGTCCATCCAGCCCTGTGGTGTTATCCCCACAGAGACCTATGCACAAATTTGGAAAGGAGAGTGTAAAAATAGGGGATGTGGGAGTGATCCCAAGGGGGGCATGCCTGCCCAGCTCCTGGCATGGAGCAGGAGGTTAATGCCTGCTCAAAGTGCTCGTCCTGCTTTCTCCTTAAGCATCCAAGAAACTTGCAGATATTTTTAAGAGTTTACCAAGACTGTGGTCTCGTTTCACAGCACCCAGTGGTCCCAACAGCAGCCCCATGGCTTCAGATCCCATTGCAGGGCAGTGCTCAGAGGGAGACTCCACACCTGAGGATGCAAAAGCCAGGTAGGGGCCTAGTCAAGTGTGGGGTGTTCTACAGCCATGCCAAAAAAACAGCTCTGGGGCCAAGGGGTGGGCTCTCATCCTTCGTGTGGCCAAGGGGTTAGGGATCAGACACTGTCCACTGTGATCCTGGTTTCTCTGGAAGATTGGGATGTCCCTGTTGATGGTGCATAGTCAGGTACTAGGGGATCAGGAGTAAATTAAATCCTGTAGTAAGCTAAGTGGCATCCTGGTTCTCTGTCTGTCAGTAGCTGTGCTGAACAGTTGGGTTTCAGCTCAGTCTGAAGTGAAAGCCCTTGGTGATGATCCAGTGTGGGAGCTGTGGCACAGGAAGGACAGTGCTGCACTGAGCTCTGCCATCTCCTCAGGCCTGACTCATAGCTCTGCTCCCCTGCCCCCGGGCTTGTTTGGATGGGCTGTTGCCTTGGCTTTGAGATACATTTGGGTGGGAAAGGAAACTGAGGTCATCACAGATTCATTCTTTTTGTGTCCATAAAGAACTTGGAGCTCAAATCTCAAGGGGAATTGGCCTGCTGTCTTCTTGAGCTACCTCTGAGTGTAATGAAATTAACTTGATGAGCTGCAGATCTCTCCCACATCACTGTTCAAAAGAAAATACTTGTGTTTGCTCTGTGGTTTATTTGTGTTTCTTGCAAATGGTCCCAGTGCTCAGGCTCCTGTGACCCATCAGATGACAGCTATGAGCATATCCAGAGAGGAAACCAGCAGCGAGCCAGAAGAATCTGTCAAGACAGAAGAAGCTTCATCAGCATCTTCCTCATCAGGTAGACTGATGGGTTTGGCCTTCACACAAGTCTGAATGACACTGATTTTGGTTTGAACAGCAAGCACAATACAGACCAGTGACTCCAGGGGTGGTTATCCAACAGAAGAGCTGAGGACAAAATGGTTTGTCTGCTTCTGCAGCAGGGAGGGGAGAGGACACTGTGCCTCAGGGCAGGCTGATGGAGATGGCACTGAGGGCTGAGGAGCTGCCAGCCCCTGGCTGGCTGGCAGGAGGATAATCCTCCCTGAGGCCTCCCCTGGGGAATGGCAGAAAGCCCAGCGTGTCCCACAGCCCTCCTGGGTGGCTGTTGCTGGCTGCAGCTCCCTGCTGTCCCCTGAGGGGGGGAAGGAGCTGGATCCAGGGTAGTCTTGGGAGAGAGGAGACGTGTTTGTGAGGGTGCCTGGGGCAGCTGCTGGCAGGGGTGTTGTCACCCATGTGAGGGGAGATGTACCTGCCCTGGGAGGGGAGCGTTGGTGCTGTTGGCAGGGATGGGTGAGGGGCAGGGTGCCATTGCCTGGGAGTTGCCTCCTCCAGCTGCTGAGTTACAGGGTGAACCCTTGTCCTGCAGTGGAGCTGTAACCAAGTGACACACTCCTTTAGTTCAGCTGGCAGTTTGCAGTGAAAGCTAAAGAACCCCAGGAGTTATTGGTTGCTAAAACCCCACATGTGAGTCTGCAGATTGGGTTTGGTCATCCCTGGCCTGCAAATCCAGGAGACTATTTACAACAGGCAGGGGAGAGACTGACTGTTGATCTGGCCAGGCTGGATTGATGGGCT